CAAGTTGTGCATTGCTGCCTCTCTTCAGATGCGCTGTAAGTTGTTCCCCATTTTGTACTCTTAAAATAATACTTAACACCGCTTCATCATTGAGATAATTCTTCAAAGTTTTTTCAAATAATAAATTGTTATTACTGTTCACAACAACTCTCCACAATAACTTAACAGATCTCTTAATTTTGTTTTTACCTTTTTGTTTCTCTGTCTCAACAATCTTTGTCTTCTGTTTCCATTTTTTCAGCTCTTCTTGATTTTGTGGACTTTCACTGGTTAAACTTATGGAGTGGAATTCAGAAGATGAGGCACCTAAAATCAGATTTAAAAGAAAACAAATAATGAGGCAATCACTAAATACTGACATTCAAGACAATAAAAGACACCTCCAAATGTTTTTGTAAAAACACCACACACAAATACAGGTAACATTTTCTTTTAGAGCTCCTTCAATAAAATCTTACCAATTTTTATTTTAGCTTGTTTTATTTTATTTATATTTAGAGCCAAAGATAAATACAACCAGACAGAAAAGAAATGACAATACCAAACATAATCAGTTGACTCTAGCCCTGTGGTCACCTCACTATTACAGACACCTTGCCACTGTAGACAAGAGCCAGCCCTTGGAGAAACACATACAGAAATGACTGAAATACATTAAGATCAACACTGAAAAAACTAAGTTTATCATTAAACACTGTTTCACCAATATAGCTTCTACCATCTTAATATTCTCTTCTAGCAAAACACAGAGTGACGAAAAACTACATTGGGTGTAATTTCCTTTCAAAAAAATTATTTTGAATTAGAACTGCATGTATTTAAAACCATTCTTGGTTTAGTTTTACCATCAAAGTAAGTTGTAAGTTCTTCCCCATAAGTTGTACTCTTAAAATATTCAGCCTATTTACAAGAAGACATGTCACATATTTGGAGCCAAAGTATAAATACAGCCAGACAGAAAGGAAAATATACTATTTTTGAAAACAAATCACTTTCTAGCTGCAGATAGTCATATATATTGTCAGCATGACTAATGAAAAATTTTTTTTCAAAACCTGGACCCCCTTTACACTTCTGTTAACCCTATGGTACACCATGTTGAATGAGTAATTGTGTTTTATTATTTCAAAAATATATGAAAGACCAGGCCTTTTCCTTTTTTCAAATTAGTGCATCCTTCTTGAGAAAGTACAGTTTGTATGCATTGTACCCTATGTCCAGTTTTCAGCTTCAGTTCTGCCAAAATATCAAGCCAGTTACAAAACAATCTCGTACCATCTTATCCAAAAGGCCACAAGAGTAATCTTCCCATAATGTTTGAGAAGAACAAACATCAACCTTTCCATAGAAACACCTGTAATGAAGACCTTCATTTCTTGTAAGTACAAACTTATTGTGTTCATCTTGCTCTGTGCTGGTGTAGTATCAAGGTAATTCATGGTCAGCACAATACTTTCTTTTTTCATGGTTGAGATCTTCTAAATCTGCATCAGATTCTGTTTTTCTCTTTGGATCAAAAACTGCACCCATCCCTTAATGACATGTACCCTACCATACTCCATGTGTTGAAAGACTGATGGATTTCATTCAAAACTCTTTACAAATATTTTATGATAGGACCAGGCCTTGTTACATTCCTTCTCCTCTACCAACCTCAATTAAATAGTACCCAGCATCTTTCTCAAATTTCATACATGTATTTGCAAGTGGGAAAAAGTTAATGGTGACTGAAAGGGAACTATTACTGCTAGTTTATCCATATCAAAACATTTACAGAAATAAATCATGCAATCTAGCAGTGTTATCTACATGTACCTGCCTTTAGTCTTTTACATAAGGTTTCTGTATTTCCATATACAGCGTCAGGTAAAATGGAGAGATTAACATTCACAGCTTCTCTACAAATGTTAAGTTCCCATAAATGGAACTGTGTACAATTATATATTAAATTATTGATGCCACATTATAGCACTGAAATTATTCTTCAAAGCACTGGTTGAACTTGTGGAGTGGAATTCAGAGGATAAAGCATCTAAAATCAGATTTACAAGAAGACAAACATTTTAAAATATAAAGACACCTCAAACTATTTTAAAACACCCAACAAGCAAAAACTAGTAAAAATTTTCTTTCATGGTCCCTCCAACAAAAGTCTTGCCTTTGATTAATGGATGCAATCAAATAAATTAAGGAAAGATAAATACAACCCTATAGAGAGGAAATATTGAGCCAGATGTCTTAGTTAGAAAGATAACAGGTTACTGGGAAGAGATGTTTGAGAAGAATAAAACATCAAATGAAATGTTTTGCAGACAAATTACTTCCTGCATCAGCATGATTTACATACAGTAGTCAGCATGAGTTTATTTAGAGACAAGTTCCATCAATCTTGATCAAAAACTGCACCCATCCCTTCATGACATGTACCCTACCATACTTCATGTTGAAAGACTGACAGATTTCATTCAAACTGAATCAAATTAAAAGTGGGTTTTCTCTCAATAATAAAGGGAAAAACTCAACCAACATGAAGAACCTTAACAAATATTTTATGATAGGACCAGGCCTTGTTACATTCTTTCTACCAACCTCTAAGAGCATCTTTCTCAAAGAACATTTTGCATGCATTGTACTCTTCTTTGTCTATTGTTGTCTTCAGTCTCAGCTCAGCCAGGTTCAGTTCCTTCAAGATCTTTTCAGTTACAAAACAATTCTGAACCACTTCACCAAGATGACCAGATGAGTAATCTGTCCACAACTCCTCCAAGATCATTAGAGATTCACACTTCACCGTTATCACCAAACTTCCTACAGCAACACCAGTAATGATGAGCTTCATTTTTTGTGTGTATTCCATGAACCTACTGTGCTCTTCAGGGGACTGTGGTGGTGTGGTCTTGAGATAATTTTGCACAATTGATAGAAAGATTTCCTTTTCAAGGGCATTGAGATGCTCTTTCTGTGAATAGGACACACTTCCAGATGCAGTTGATGTAGCAGATGCCCTAGGCTGCTGAACCTCTTGTCGTCTGACAGACTCTGTTGCCAACATGCCAGTCTGCATATTCTGTTCTTCAGGTTTCAAGTCATCCACTGCAACCTTAACATTCAACTTACCACCTGTTAGATTGTAACAGTCAAATTTAATCTTACTATAACAAGGTTTTTTCACCTCTTACCTATTTAACCATTAAAATGTGAGACCAAATAATGGTTGCCAAAGAGACCATGCTCACTGCTGTTCCTCTTGTGGAGAGAAAATCAAAATTACTCGTCTACAGTTAGTTGTCCCAAAAATAGGATGGGACACTTTCACCTAATTTTAATACAAATGAAAAAGTACCCTGAAGCTCTGTTGTGTCTCCAATGGACCCTGACCAAAGATATATAATTACAATCTTGATTAAGTGAAGATACATTGAACAAGAGAAAAGGATAATAATTTAAAGAGGGCTCCTTGATTGGCTGTTGCCTATCTAGACTGTGCCCTCTGTGTGTGAATTACATGATAAAACGAAGGTTGTTTACAATGAATTGACATGCAATTGGGTTAAGTCCAAGGTAGCTAAAAGCAAATTTTATTTGTAGACAAATTCAAAACATGGGAGAATTGCAAGGAAAGTTCACTATCGATCCCATTTTGTTCTGTGTGAATTTCTTTTAGCGGTGTCAGAAAATGCAGTTAGAATACATGATAAAATGCAGGTTTTTTACAGGGAAATGACATGTCATGGAGCAAAGTCTAATGAGGTAAAATGGAATTTGATTGATGGAGTACAATTCTATAACATGAAAAATTACCTAATGTTCATGTAGTGCTATTATCGGGTATGTTCTGATTGCACTTTGAATGCTGTCCTTACTGACAGAAGAAGTCTTTCAGGTAAACAGCCAAAATTAGCTAATGGCATTAATCTTCCAGTTGCCAATTTTCATTCTCAGACGAGAGAAATGCTAACACCAAAGCCACTGAATACGCAACTTTTGGTTTTTCTTTAGTATATTGGTTTCCTTCCCTTTCTAGGAAACTTTGAACCTCATTGTCTGCCAGCGATAAGGATTTTTTAAGTGTTTTAGCCAAAAATCCTTGCACAACACAGCAGTTAATGTGATAAATATCCTTATGCAGCAATCTGATTGGTGCAAGTTAAATACCCTCATGTGGCACTCTGATTGGTGTGAGATACATATTCTTAAACGGCAATCTGATTAGTGCAGGATACATACCACTCTTTTTAATATAGAAAAAAAAAACTCAAAAAGACAATGCACTTGTATTCCAACCACAAGATTAGATAAATGTAACAAGTCAGGACTTACAGGAGCACTTTACTTGTTCTTGTGTTTATTCAGTTTATCATCTGTGGCTCAGTCTACTCATAGGGTTTAGCTTCTTACATGTAGCATAACATTTCAGCAAATGTACTGAAAAAAAAGAAAAATTAAAAGAAGTGGACTCACCATATGCAGTTTTCACAACATTTTCAATCAGCCCTTTAAACCTCTCACATTCTGCTTTCCAAGAGTAAACCTTCCTGTAGTTCTCGCGAAGCTTCACAGCATTGGCTTCTCTCTCCTCTGCGCTTTCTTCATATATCTCTCTGATCCTTCGTGCCCATTCATCTTTATCTTCACCTGATCCAACAATGACAGTGTTTCCACCTTCTACTTTTTGCAAAGCCTCAGCTATGCCAGATTCGCCAGAGACGAGTACAGGAACACCAGCAGAAATGGCCTGAAGGGCAACGAGCCCAAATCCCTCGGTACGGGATGGCAGAGCAACCAAATCTGACTGATAGAACATCAACTTGAGTTCCTCTTGTTCACTGAAATATCGACGGATGGTTAGTTGTTTGCGGTTGATGCACGTGTTGTCAAGAAACCATTGCTCAACTTTTCGTTGTTCACCAGGAGATGAGCCGACAAATGTCAACTCAAAGTTCTTACCAAGAGAACCAATGGCATTTGCAACTACATCATAGCCTTTCAGGGAAAGATCCTCAAAGGCAGCTCGGCCAAACAAAGACACATTAAAATTCTTTACTACCGATCTGTCTACAGCCAATTTTGATTCATTGGAAAACTTTCCAAAGATCCCGGGAGTGATAATCTTCACTTCAACATTAAGGAGACGTCTGCTGTACTTCTGTTGTAGACGGGAGCCAACGGCAACAACTGCATCCGCTGCTTTACACAACTCAATTTCTATCTTGTGCTTCTTCTCGTTCTCTTCGATTGTATCTTCTGCAGCCGTGGCAGATTCTTTATATTTCCCAAGGTCCTCGCAGTAGACGTGAACAAATTGGATCCATTTACACTTTGTATTCTGTAGGAGGGAATACGCAGGACAACCCAGCTTTCTTCCATGGCCTATCACCAGATGTGGGTTTGGGAGCTCTGGGGGTGAAAACTTCAAGCCCTCGAGGGGGTCGGCTGAACCAGGAACACTTCGAGCTGTGATTAAATTGACACCATGTTGTTTAGCATCTTCTCTGTCCCGATCATCGCTATAAGAGACATAGCAGTGAATTTTCATGCTACCAGTCGTCGCTTGTGCCAAATTAATGGCAAATTCTCGATTGAAAGTTGACAATCCACCCTTTGAAGATTTCCATTCGTCACAGAGAAATATGACATCAAGAACCTTCTGCTCTCTCTGCTCCTGGTGGCTACTTCCAGCATTCGATGTATTGGAAGACGCCATGGTTATTATTGCTACGTTTTCCTTCACCAATAGATAAATCTCAATCCCCTAAATATCGCAATCGGCGGAGATTCCAAAGGACTATCCACGTCTAACGCCATTTTGCGTACTTTATTGCATTTGTTTATACCCAGAAAGATCAAGTATCGCCCGACAGAGCTGAATAATATTTGCGCATGCGTCAAGCTTTGGCGCGGAAAAGAGGAAAACGGATTTTGAGTTGTTTGCACGTTCGATTTTCTATTTGTTGCTTCTGGGCGTTGTTTCCCTTCCGCTTTTCTTTTAGAGAACAACCTCCGAAAACTTTGTACACCCCCTAAATATTTTCAAAAATTAATTTTCTCCTTAAAAACACTGGAAATAGGAAAATGCCTTCAACTACGACAGAATACCTTGGTTTTAAATACCAGACCTATTGTTCTCCTCAAATTTCGCTGAATTTTTAACCTCAAGGGCTTGAGCCCGCGTCATTGACCACTTAGCTGTGACGCTGCATTTCCTTATTCAGCTTTGTGGGGGGGGGGGGGGGGGGGGGAGAGAAAGAAGACATGGGAGGTCAGAGTCTCTTGCCTCCCATACTTTTGTGCCCCTTTGCCTCCCGACTCCCACCCTTCATTGTGTTGCTCCCGTCTTCAAGTTAATCGAGAGGATCAGAAACCCGGGTTAACTTTCAAAAAAATTGCGTTGAAAAGAGAACCACTCCGCACTCTCCGGCGCGCTCACTGAAGCGGCATTCCTTTGAAACAAGTTTGCACCATGAGGGAAAATCTTCAGTAATTTGGAATGTGCAGTCGTACGGAGCAAGCTCCCAAGATCTTCCATGCACGGATATTTCGTTTCCACACTGAAAAATACTAAAGCCGATTAAAATAGACTTTGACGACATTTGACCTGAATGACCCTGAATCGCTTTCTTTGCTGGATATTTTCGACAGTTACAGCTTACCAGACACTGACACTGAAGTATAAGTGTACATGTGTCATGTGTCATGCTATCTCATGACCTATGACGTAATCAAATTGAATAGATTTCCAAATTCACCGGAAGTAATGTTGTTTTTCCAGCCAACTTACGTTTCCTTGCTTCCAAAATTTTCTTTTAAGCATTGGTGGATGTGAAATGAAAATTTCGAAACTTTGCTATATAGGTGTTTTTGACTGAACAGTACTCAGTAATGAACAACACATTATTGCTTTCTTTATTTCTGTTCCCGCTTCCCGCCCTCTCCCGCCCCCTGTTCTCCCGGGCTCCCGCCCCACTGTCCCCCTCCACTTGTCAAGACGCCATGAAAAAGGAGGCCGTGCCTACAAATGTAACCTATGATCTGCTCAGCGGTTCAAAAGAGATTCGCCTAAAAGCGAGATATTGGCCCGCCTTGAGACCGTTTAAATGTTCGCACAGGTGTATTTATGCCCTTCTTTTCATAGCAAGTGAAAGATCAATCTCTCTTCTCAGCATTAAAATCTTACATAAGTTTGCACATCCTCTCATAGTCTAACTATCTGAAGATCCAAGGTCGCCTTTCAAATATCGGATATGCTCAACGTCGAACATAGTTCCCTGAAAGAAGCATTTCGTCGATCGTTATTCTCTCCTCGGCGTTTTCTTTCATCGTGTTCAGAAACCTTTTATTTATGAACTTGCACAAAAGTCGACTTCTGTCGCTCTGTGATTGGTCAAGCTCACTCGCGCCATTCTTTCAACCAATCAGATGCAAAACTAACACCAATCTATGGTGACTTGCGTTTTCCCGCTCGTCGGGCAGTTTGCTTGTTTTTGCCTCAAGCACTCATTGGCTCCTCTTTGCGATAGTTTCTTTGATTCTGATTGATAGTTCTTCTTGCTTTGGTTTTTGATATACGACACTCAATTGAAAAGTCCTCAAATCAAGTCGGGGATTATTATCCAGACATAAAAACAAATTTCGAGGAATACTCGACAAAGAATGCATGGTTTAGTCAGGAAAATTAATATTCAGATCTTGACTAGAGAGAAAGGATCGATGCGTTCGGGATAATTGTTGCCTAGCTGGAGCCCAGTGTCCTCTGATCATGAAATCATCCACTAAGACTGTCTAAGTTCTAAATGCTATCTTCTCTCCAAAGGATCCAGTTTAGGTGACGGTCGTCGCGGACCCAAATGTCTTGAAGGTGAATTTGGCTTTGGTCCATTATGCTGTGGAATAATAAAAACTCTAAACATCGGGGTGGATTTACAGTTGGTCCTAAAGGTCTGGATTTCATAACGTAAGGTTTTCTACTTAAATGTTTAAGACTTAATAGTATATAGAAAGGTAACGTTCTCATCACAGGATCTCGGCCCTGGCTTTTCTCAACTCTTTTCATACACTCCTATACGTTTTGTTTACCCAAACAGCCAGACTAACTTGAAAGAAAAATGCATGAGGTAATCGCCTCTTGTTTTACAACAAGAAATTTATTTATCGATCAGCAGAACGAGCCGATCTTCAAGGAAACAAATTTCCTGTGTGTTGCCACTTAGTTAAGACAGAACGAAAAGACAGGATAGAAAGTGGGCTCTCATGTCCCGGCTGAGATCAACTGAGGATGAAGTGTGTGAGATACTAGCACTATCACGGTCTCTCACAACAAATCTGAGGCAGCGTTCAGACACAAGTTTTTCTCTTTTATCTGCAACCACTTACTTTGAAGTCTTACAAAAGTTACCATGAAAAAAAGAAGAAAGAAACTAATACAAACCCAGTCCAGAATATCTACAGAAGTGGAAGAATTTTTGTATCCTGTCCTCTGAGCGACCTGACTTTCGTTTAGTTTCATCTGCGTAAATAAAACACAAAGCTACTCAAACAATAGATCATCACTAGCTTCTCCTTTTCATTTTGGAATGAACATCAACAAAACTGATACTATCAGTATTTTATATAATTTTAAAACAATATACGCCTCGGAAAGAGAAGAGAGAGGTAACTGAAAATGTTGATAGATATAGAGAACTAAGACATGGTGGACCAAAAGATTTCTTAGACCGAAAAAAAAATGTGCCAACACTGTCACTCCAAAATAAGAAAAATAGTCACCTGTAGGTCGGCTTTATCCTTCGCCCATTTTCTGACGTTATCTGCCAACTACAGAGACAACGCAAGGAAACCGAGAAAACTATATTAGAGCTAAGTTTATTACACCTCTGCGCTGTTTTTTCAGTTTTTTTAACCAAATATTTATTTTCTGTGTAAGTGTCTGTCTACTTGCCTGCCTGCCTGTTCGTCTGTCTGCCTGTCTGTATGACGGCCTACCGCCCGACAATCAGCCATCCAACGTGACTGACTGTCTAACAGACAATTTAGTGTTCACAATTAAGTTGAGAACGTAAATTGCCCTTAGTCAGGGCAACAAGAAACGCTCGAAACGTCAGCGGCCTTTTAAATCTTTACGGTGGCCAATTTACGTTCTCAACTTAGTTGTTGACACTAAATTACCTGCTATACTCTCCCACCGACGCAGCACCACAGTTTCTTTAGAAACTCACCCCCTTTATTCATTTGTCTATCAGACAGTTTTCTTGTCCTCCCACCCGAATGACTGATTGGACTTGGCAAAGGACAAAATGGGCAATTCAATAATAAAACTTCGACCACCTTATGACATGTCAGATAAAGCAAACCTCCACATTTCCAAAAAGTGAAGCAATGCAGCTGAGTGCTTCACCTGTTTTTCAAGAGCAACAATCCGTCCCCCCGCTTTCTCTAGTTTTTCAAAAAGTTCCAGTCGTTCCATGTCTGACATCGGTCCATTCTGCAAACAGACAATTCAATTAGGCTTTTGCGCAATGCAAGTGTCGTAAACGGCGAAAATAAAACCTTTGGAATGAAAAAAATAAATGGATCTCATCTTACACCTCTTTACCTAAAAGTGTTTATACTACTGTAATCATTACTGTCCTATGAACAAAATGGGAAGTCCATGGACTGATCGAGATTTCCACTCTCAAAAATCGTCATCCATCTGCCTTTTTTACCCCCACGTATATGGCTAAGAAGATTTCTCGATCTTCAAGGCAAAATTACAACGTATTAACCTTGAACTTACTTAAAAATCATCTTTAGCCAAGGGCCCACTGTAAATTTTCAGTTGAAACTTTACGCCGCTCGTAAAGAACTTGTTTTTTCCACTAATTAATGGGCAGCCGAAACATTTGGAAATCACATCCATAACGTGGCTCTCTCAGTGAAAGCTTTGTATTAAATGAACACTTCCCTGCTAAAGAAACCAGTTAACTAGTAATAAAATGCCTTTGATTCAAGAGTGGCACACTTACACTTGCACCAACCACTCGCTGTTCTCCTGGTGATCTGAAACAAAATCAGACAAGCAGTCAGTCACCACTACGTATCCTCCTCAACTGGTAGTTTCATGAAAGGTTCAGTTCCCATGGTAAATTCGTGACAGTCTCCCAGGCATTTATTCCCTTTCTAATCACTTTGACTCTTATAAGGTTAAAAACTAACGATCCCAACGGATGAAAGAGCCGCTTTCGTCGGCGAATCCAGAGGATTAGAAGTAGGGTCCAAAACGTTATCTCTAGCTGAAGCCGCAATCCGACTGGCAACCTCACACTGACAATTTCTCAAAAGTGGATAGAGGCCGATTATCACCGAACGATGTAAGATGGCTGAAAGTGCATATGTACTGAAAAATTAAGTGCACATACCTTGGTTTCTTCAGCTTGGCTTCGGCTGCTTTCAACTGCTCCTGATTACGAGAGAAAAACAAATTATCCAGTAGCTTTCTTTCCACCGAAAAAGTCAGTGGACACAAACCATGTTTATTTGATCAGTAGGATGTAATATATATTGACAGGAAATAGATTGAGTTTGACAATGGGCCTAGTGGGATTTAATAACCTGATTCATTTTGATGTGCTCCTGTGAAATGCAAAATGCACAATCCTCGTCTTGAACATGAGATGGGACAAAATCCGCAATTTACATTCCCTTAATTTAATTGACCAAGAGCCAGAAGTGTCAACCGATTGATTTCTTTGGTGACTGTGTACTCTTTATACCTTGCTGAGAACACTTCTGGCTATGAGGTCCACTGACCGCCTCCCTAAGGAAGGGGAGCGATCATTACGCACAGGGCGTTTAATAGAGAGAGGGTTGGGAAGAAGCACTGATATCTTAAAGTAGTTTTTAGAAGAATGAGCGTTATTCAAACTAAACAGGGCATTTTCGATATATCACAACACATTCAGAGGTTTATTTGGCGCTATACAGGCCTTGTTTTTATCCCACTGTTTCAAATGTGTGCGTGTTTTCAAGGTAAAAGTGTCACTTCCGCGTGTTCAGCTTCCCCAAAACAGGTCAAACTAAAAAACACTATAATAAAACTTATGAGTACCTTGTACTGCAGAACCTCTGCCTGTAGTCTGATATTCTCTTCACTGAGTTTTCTGTAAGATTCGCCAGTTTCTGTAGAGACTAATAGGGGATAATAGTTGGTAAATATATGCAGAAAGATGGTAAATTTTGAGCTTGGTCGTCGAATAAAGACGAGTTTTGATTTGCCTTACGCCTTATGAGTAACATCATGTTGGGTATAAGGGTGTGGTAGGGGTAGATGAGATACTAAGCGCATGTGATCTTCTGCTCCAACGGCTATCAATTTAGTGTCGCTTTATGAAACCAACCCAAGACAATCATTCTGTTTGCATAGTTGAAACCGAGACTCCTTTCGTTGCAACGGAATAGTTTCTCTGAAAACTAATAACTTTGGCTCTTTGGACTCGCCCTTGTAACACAAGTATTTTCTATAATCGTTCTCGTACAAGTTTCTTTATTATAAACTGATAAGAAATGTAATTCATCTTGATATACAGGTGCGTTTCAAAGGTAACTCACCTCCATTGTATGGTCCCTTCCCCTTTTGGGCCAAAAGCTTCTCGAGTTATACAATAACCTACAAGGGATGTGTATTTAAACATTAACTGTCGCCTTTTGTCTGGAAGGTTCACAACTCAGTCTCACAAACTCGCTCGGTGGTTTTTCACCTTTTCTTGTTTCTTGCAGGTATCTTGAATCGTCTGTGTCTTTTGTACCTTTCCCTGCCAGCGAAGACACTCGAGATCAGTTTTTTCAACCCAAACATAGAGTTTGTACATGTGTGAGCAAAAGACGGTGACACAAGTACAATCAAATACCAGAATAATGAGTGAAGCAGTGGAGTGGTTGTGGGAGTTTAAAAGAAAATTGGACTCTACAATTGCACCGAAAGAACTTTTTGACCAGGGTAATAGGAGAAATTCCACCACACTACAAAGTTTACAAGCAATATTTTAGCACTTTTTCTTTAATATGTCTTTTCCATCCTTTTTTCAGGTCTTGGAAACTATATCATCAAGAAAAGTACGGCAAGTTATCACGATGGCGATTCTAGACAATGAATGAACACCGCATTCTTTGAAGTGCACGTTATTTAGGGTTGACACCATTACGCGGAGCTATGTTACGGTAAGATGAATTAAGTTACGTTCACAGATTACCAGCACTTCTTTTTCAAATGCGACAAGAACTAACAAAATTATACATCTATTTGTTATAGCACATCTCACTCACCTGCAACTTTTGCAGAAGTGCCTCTTGCCCTTCGTGAGCTTTTTGTAGTTTCAAAAAATCCTTCTCCATCTCATTTTTCTGTAAATATATAACTTCGTCAACCTTTCAAACGTAGCCTTTTGTGTACAGAAGTATTAGACATGTCATTGCTAATAATTTCAAAACGTTAACGAACAAGCTGGCGATAAGGAAGGAGATAGCTAGAAGGCCTGCACGAGAATCACTTATCGGATCTCACGAGTAAATCAGAGACAATATAAAGCCACCTTGATAAGATCATTCTGAAGGTGTTGAAGTCTTGATTTTCACGACTGCTCTATGCAAACAAAAAATGACAGCATTGATCTGTGATAAAAATCAGGGTTTAAGAGCCATTTTCCGAGAAAATCGAAAATCGCAAGACACTCGTAAAAAAATTGAATTTTTTTTTCTTTTACCAAAACATCCCTTTTAGTGACCTAATTCAAGAAAAAATAGTTTTGGGTTCAAGCGATTCATTGTACGGGAGAAATAACAAGTAGTTTGAAAAATCGTTTTATTGCTGTCTTTTCGCGCTTAAAAACAACAGAATCCGACCGCAACTCGAGAAAACGGTGAACACATAAGAAACAATCCCTAACATCGAAACTTCAGCTGAGTATTATTTCGTTCTTAATCTTTAAAATCCTAAAAGAAAATTTGAAGAAAGAAGTTTTTAACATTTACAATCGACAAGTTTAAAAAGGTCGTATTTGTGTCTCTTGAAATGTTAGAAAATGAAAGCGAACTTTAACCGTTGTAAAAGCCCTCTGGTATATGCCGCTTCCTAGTAAAACCCATATAGAATAAAGCCTTGGCTATTGAAGTAAATTACAGGAACGTTTTAGCTCTGGAAATTAAATACAGCCCTGACACTGGAGTAAGCAATTTGAGAATTTAAGTTAATAAACTTTATGCAAATTAGACGGCCCGCTGAATGAATTCATACTAAATGCAAAGTTTAGTGTATAAGGACTACTTACTGTTGCTTGTAATATGTTTTTACAGTGAAAATGTTATTTCTAGCTTTCAGCTGTGTTGGTAAGAGCCGTAAATAACTTTTTATATGACGACTGAAAAACGTTTGTTTAGCTACTTTGCTACCAGCGAAATCATTGAGATCGCAACTTCGAACTGAAGCTGTCATCGCTTGACGAAACTCCGTTACCACAATTTTAAAATAGTATAGTAAAATATATATTTGTATTGGTCTGGACACATGCATATGCTGAGCGGCTGTGAAAGACATTCATCACAGTTTTTGATTCAGAGTGGTATAATATTTCCCAAAATATATCAAACACAAATGTTTCCTTATTAAGTTCGTTATTCCCGAATTTCCCACCTTGCAATAATCCCTGCAGCAAAAAAAGAAAAAAAAAAGCATGAAAGTCAACTTTATAGCTTGCTTTAGTTTTGTTTTGGATTTTTTTTTATGATTTTTCCTCCGAAACCAGGAAACCCTAGCCAGGTAACTAGAAATTCTCAGTTTCATTTAGAGCTTGTCCACAACACAACTTCAAACTTGCGTGTGCTTATCGCATCCTTAAAACCTTCCAGACCTCTTCAAAATCGTTGAAAAGCCTATTGAGGCTAATAATAATCTTTGAGTTAACTATGACCAATTCACGCCGCGAGCGCGAGAAAAAGAGAACCACTCCGCAGGGCTGAATACGCGATGTGGAGTGTTATAAAATTCCACATTCTCGCGCGTAACGCTTTCTCTAGAGACCTCTAGGAGTGTTGTTTAGCGAAGATGAACAAAGTTATCTTTGGTTAACTCAAAGAACTTGCAGAAATACCTCCAGCCTGCATAAAAGGCGCTTTATGAGCCAAGCGAGGCGAAAGTGGCATTTTGCACGAAGCGCGAGAAGCGACGAGGGGAGGAGAAAAATAAAGCTTTATTTTTCTCCATCCCTCGTCTCGCGCTTCGCACTCGTTTCGTGCTTCGAGGAAATGCCGCGTTCGCCTCGCTTGGCTCATAAAGCGGCTGTTATGCAGGCTAAAATACCTCTTCACATTTATAAGATAAGGTATCATTGATTTGTCAGAGCGGGAAGAGACATTTATAACGTGCAAATAGTCACGAGCTGAAAGGTAACTGACTGATTTGTAACAAGGACTCACCCTGACAAACAAGAAATGATCTCACTTTCCGAAAAGGAACGCTCTTTTAAACATAAACAAACTTCAAAAATAAGTAAAGGAAGCAAAACAATGAACAAAATAGATTTTTTCTTGACTTAGTTATTCCGGCGAGAACAAATGGTGAATGATTCACTCCTGGAAGCAAGCCTCTGAGGAGAAGTGAGAACACCGTTTAGGCAAAACTCTACAATTTGTGTACTTTACTAGCCTGTTCACAGACTCTCTTCATTTTTAGATATCGTCGAGTGCACGTATAAAAAAAAAGCGCGTTCCGCCCTCTCTCACGAGCAATCGCTTATCTTGTGCGCGCACCAAATTCCCAAAACAGAAAAACGTCTGTGAGCAGGGTAGTACTTTCTGTTTCTACATATTTTTCCCACGGAGCTGGCAAGTGCTTTTTTCAGCAGGTCAACGTAGAGCGCTTTGCGGCGAACAGGCTTGGGAGGTACTTCTAATTCTAGTTGCTGACAAATGTTTTGAAGCATTCCAAGTTTAAGTCGCTCGAGAGATCCTCCCTTGGCCATGGCACAGATATCGTACTGATCGTAAGTGATGGGGTGCTGTAGCGTGATGGATAGGATTGTTTCTCTTGCCATGGCAAAGTTTTCCTCTTCTACTACAGCTTGGATTTCAGCATCGTCGGATGTTTGCCGTCGGACCTTCGCTGCAAGACGTGAGAAATATGAAGTGCACTGCTGCGGGGTAAGAAACTCGGATACTTTGAACAAACGAACACCATCAGGTCCTTGTGCACGTCTCATTTCACGTGATACGATATCACCGTCTAGTTTTCTGCCGCTGGTTTGACCAATTGTAAACTTCGCATTTAGATAATCCCTCTGGTTTTGGTTAAAGCGATATGCTTTTTTGCTCGGCTTTAGCGCCCATCCTTCTTTTACCTCTACTTCGCCGGATGTAGCCTCTCTTGTATCCCTAAAAGACGCAAACGAAATAACTTGACTGGTCGTGCCCTCCTCCAACCTGGACTTGTAGTCTAGTTTGGCAAGGTCTAACAAAGACCGTTTCTCTAAAGACTTGGTGCATTTCTCTAAAGATAGGTGTTTTTCGAGAGAAGACAGCCTTTGAAAGACCTTAACACACCCATCCTGAGGGCAGGTAAACACGGATGACGATTCATTTGTATTTTCAGTGGGATCATGAACCTGCTCCACTTCCGTCTCTTGCTTCTTCCTTGACTGAGTCGGTTTTGGGCTAAGGGGTTTAAAGTCTCCAGAAGAAAACTCAGATGAAAGCCAACCAATGCCATGCTCTGAAGTAGATAACACATAAAGAAACAAGATTTACATAAACAGCACTGTTAACCTACTTCAATACTTCACTCTGCACAGCCTGTGAAGAGTGCCCCTTTGGTCCACTTTGCTGCGCGAACAGATGAAACGTTTGCTTTTTACATCTTATGACCGGACATGTTCTTCAGAACCGCCATATTCTGCAATGTTCGTTTTAAAAATTTTGTAGAACAAATCAAGGACTATAAATTTATAAAGGGTCTAAGGGGCTTAAGTCTTTTACAAAGCAAAACCCCACGGGGTGGCAGACACCCGCTCCTCCTGCGTACCAGGATGGGAAATGGATGCCTTTCATGCGTCTGAAGGCTATAACAAACGATAAACGTACACCTTTTTACTCAAACTATAAAAAAATATATATTTGCGCGATGAAATAATTCTAAAAAAGGAAGAATTGTGAATTTTCATTAGGCTAACCTTCTGATGTTGTTTCCAATGGGATCTCTTTTCCCTTTCCCATACCATAAGCGCGCCAAGCTACGAGAATTTCGTCTTTAAACTCGAAATTGTTTAATTTGTTGATACCAGTAATCTTTCTGTTGTCATCTACTACTGCTTCCTCTTCAACACTTTGTATGACAGCAACTCGAACTCCTTCTATCCCCCCATGCGAAAGAAGAGCACTCTTCAGTTGTTCGGCATTGGTCACGTCATTTCCTTCGTTTATGAAAGTCCTGACGTGATTCTTGCAGGTTGCAGCGAGCCTGTCTGCGGCACCTTTTCCACCCTGTGGGTCAGAAAAGTCAATGCGCTTGATTTCGATGCCGGTGGAGGAGGATATCACTGGGCATGAGAGTACGGTGGACGACGAATGATAACATCCTGCGTTATCTTGGCGAAAGAACGCCTTGTTAATCTCACTGTGCTCCAGCTTGATGGTATTCAGGACATCCTGCATGATTTTAACCACTGCAGCACTGCCTTGATTGCACGACTGGACTATGTGCAGAAAGCCCTGCCACTGGAGTACCCCGCTCACACGACGGTAGACGACAGAAACGTGCCAGGAGATACCTCGCTTACCAAACCAGTCGGCTTGGGACTCTCTGTATTTTTGTGGCAGGAACTTCATGGCCCAGTCGTTAATTATCAAGACAGCGTTGTCGTCAAGTTTCTCCAGTGCATCTATTCTCGCTTGGTCTTGGTTAGCTGATCTAAGGATGTGGCATTTCCAGGACATTATGGCCAGCTGGGCTGTCTGGAATATAAATAGCGCTTCGTCTTTCGCGTCCTGAGTCGGAAAGGTCGTCTCGCCAAGGACCCGTTCAATCTTTGCCAGAGTTTCCTGAAGACTTTGACAACGGTCACAAAGATCAGTGTGTTGGTGACTGCATTGTTGCTGGTAATCTGCATCACTACTGTCGCTAAGAGCAAACAACACACAATGGTCTGCTACGTTAGAGGGGCTTGTGACATGAACCTGTTGATAAAACAAAACTGAGATTACTGTTTGTCTGTGCTTATACTTCAATATAATAGTTAATCAAATGATTTTTTAATCTAACATATATTATTAACGTAAGGGGGCGAATAACTTTTAACCTTAACCTTAGAAAAAAACTATCCTCGTGCGCGCATTGTTAATCTCGAGAATTTATGTAAGCTAGTTACACGTGCACCATTTAGTGAAGAAAAGAGTACAAAATATATATTTGTTTTACGGAATGATTTTGTTGACGAGGTAAAATAAGTACTTACTTTTAGTTTTATTCAAGCTGTCTTTCTGGAGTCAGAATTCACATTACCTTATAGTCCCCCTTCAAATACTGCTTGCTTGTCATAAGAGCTTGCACAACTGTAGTCTCCCACTCCTTGCCGGAACCTAATTCCCCTATTTGGCGTACGAGGGCCACAAGATCATCAAATGCGCGAGCACCTTCAGCTGCAAAATAATCTAAGCCCTGTAGTGATTTTCTTACATAGGCACTGTATTCAGAGGGTACCCGTCTCATAGTAGTTT